ACTTACGTCCCAGGCACTATGCTGAGGGTTTTGCATAATTATCTGATTTAATCCTTAAAAAAATATAAGGATTCACATATTGTCATATGTGAGAAAACCAAGGCTCAGGGATAAATTCCTTAAGAACAACAACTATTAAGACTCAGCCTAAAGTGGTCTAAAAGTTTTGGAGAGAAAATGACTGCATATTGGCAATGTAATACACCAGTACTTCATAGTTTTTGAAATCTGAATTCTTTAAATGATAGGTTTGATTTCTAATAGATTGTGGAAAATTATTGTCACTCTATAGATGTTAGAATCCCTGATATCAGGTAATGTTTTCATTGCTTTCTTTGTTGATTTCAAATAGATCAGAGGTTGGATTTATGCAAACTTGGGCCAAATGACAGTGATACAGTTAGAAGACAGTAGGTAAGTGTGGAATTTAAAGTTACATGAATTTTGGTTTCATTCAAACTGACCTAAAGTCTAAATACCTTTTAAATCAAAGTATAATAACTGTGACTTCATAGTGTTGGCCTGAATTAAATGAATTAGGTAAAATGTTACAGTGAATCCAGGATCCAGGTTAACTTAATTTTAAAAACTTTAATGTAAAAAAAATGTGTCGGCCGGGCGCGGTGGCTCACGCCTGTAATCCCAGCACTTTGGGAGGCCGAGGCGGGCGGATCACAAGGTCAGGAGATCGAGACCATGGTGAAACCCCGTCTCTACTAAAAATACAAAAAATTAGCCGGGCGCGGTGGCGGGCGCCTGTAGTCCCAGCTACTCAGGAGGCTGAGGCAGGAGAATGGCGTAAACCCAGGAGGCGGAGCTTGCAGTGAGCCGAGATCGCGCCACTGCACTCCAGCCTGGGCGACAGAGCGAGACTCCGTCTCAAAAAACAAACAAAAACAAACAAACAAAAAAATGTGTCGTGAAGAACTGCTGATCCTTTAGGAAGTAATTCTTTCAAAGTATCCTAACATAGTAGAGCACTGTGTTCAGACTTTATAGATGTTATTAAAGTTTACTGAAAATAATTCTCAAAACTGGTTTTTTTAGTAAGAGGAGAGCATGCTATTGAACTTGTTTTAATGTTTAATGCCTTACAGCTTTAAAATCTATGCTAATTGAAAAAAAAACAGAATGAGCAATGGTAGTATAACACTGGAAAAAGGGAGAAATTGTTACGACTCATGAGACACTTAATAGCCTTACATGGTATTCAGGTGTCTTGAATTGACCTGGAGGGAAGGGCTTGATATAAAATTTGCTGAGATCTTTCTTAAGAATTGATAGAGATTTGATCAGGATGCATAGTATGGAAGGGCACTGTTCATCTTGGAGACTTCTTAAATTAACGAAGAAAAATGTGGCCGGGTGCAGTAGCTCACACCTGTAATCCCAGCACTTTGGGAGGCTGAGGCGGGTGGGTCACCTGAGGTCGGGAGTTCGAGACCAGCCTTGCCAGCATGGAGTAACCCCATGTCTACCAAAAATACAAAAAATTTGCCAGGCATGGTGGCGGGTACATGTAATCCCAGCTGCTCGAGAGGCTGAGGCAGGAGAATCACTTGTACTCGGGAGGCGGAGGTTGCAGTGAACCAAGATCACGCCATTGCACTCCAGCTGGGTAACAAGAGCAAGACCGTGTCTCAGAAAAAAAAAAAAAAAGAAAAGAAAAAAATCCAATAGGACTTTCAGTCTTCATGATAGAGCAGAACTTAGAATAAGATCATTTTGTTATGAACCCATCAGAGCAGTTTTAGTTACTGAAGGTACTTGAAGGACTTCATTTTACACGACTGTGAATTCAGTTCATAGAGAGCTACCAGAGTAGCCACATAGCAAAACCCTATTTTGGTTATTTTACGGAAGTCTCTACACCAGCACCAGGGACTGGTTTCATGGAAGACAGTTTTTCCATAGACCAGGCTGGGGGTGGGGGTGGGGGTGGTTTCAGAATGATTCAAGTGCATTATATTTATTGTGTACTTTATTATCATTACATTGTAATATATAATGAACTAATTCTACAACTCACCATAATGTAGAATCAATGGGAGCCTGAGCTTGTTTTCCTGCAATTAGATGGTCCCATCTGTGGGTGATGGAGACAGTGACAGATCATCAGGCATTGGATTCTCATAAGGATCAGGCAACCTAGATCCCTTGTGTGTGCGGTTCACAATAGGGTTTGTGCTCCTATGAGAATCTGTTGTCGCCACTGATCTGACAGGAGGCGGAGCCCAGGCGGTAATGCTCACTCACCCGCTACTCACTCTTGCTGTGCAGCCTGGTTCCTAACAGACCCTGGACCAATACCCCACCCATCCATGGCCTGGGGGTTGGGGATCCCTGATCTACACTACAGCATTACTGATAATTCCTGTCATTCTTAGATTAAGAAGGGAGAGAGGACTGTATTACTACAGTTATGGACACAGTAGAGGGGTTAGTCTCCCCCAGCCCCAGGAGTAAGGAATGCTGGGCTGCTTGAACACAGGCCTTTTTAGAACTCCCTTCAAACAGGATCCCAGAGATGTGGGGAGAAACTAACTGGCCTTAAGAATGATTGTGCTACAGCTTTCGAAAACTATAATGCCTTTCAAATATGGCTTATTACTTGGATCTCAATATCTCCCATATATCTTGGGTGGAATATTTTGCTGAAGATCTTTCTGTCAATCATTTACAATCATGTGCTGCAAAACGATGTTTCGGTCAACAATAGACCACATATATGATGGCGGTGCCATAAGATTATGATGGAGCTATCCCTATACAGGTATACCATTTTTGTGTTTTGTTTTTTTGTTTTTTTGAGATGGAGTCTCACTCTGTTGCCCAGGCTGAAGTGCAACGGCGCGATCTCAGCTCACTGTAGCCTCCACCTCCCAGGTTGAAGTGATTCTCCTACCCCAGCCTACTGAGTAGCTGGGATTATAGGCACGCGCCACCACACTCAGCTAATTTTTGTATTTTTAGTACAGACTGGTTTTCGCCATGTTGGCCAGGCTGGTCTCAAACTCCTGACCTCAGATGATCCACCCACCTCGGCATCTCAAAGTGCTGGGATTACAGGTGTGAGCCACTGCACCCAAGCCCTGTTTTTATCTTTTATACAGTATTTTAACTGTAACTTTTCCAGGTTTACATACACAAATACCTGTCATTGTGTTACAATTGCCTTTATTATTCAGTACAGTAACATAGGGTACAGGTTTGTAGCCTAGGAGTCCTAGGCCCTACCATATAGCCTAGGTGTACTCTAGGCTACACCACCTAGGTTTGTGTAAGTATACACTATGATGTTAGCACAATGGTGAAATCACCCAGTGACACATTTCTCAAGCTCCTCACATGGCAAGCAACGCATGACTGCATATGAAAGCTCTTAAATAGGGAATAAGTTTCTAAATTAATCTCAAAAGAAAACAGTCATTATTTACTATTTATGAATTTTTTTTTTAAAAAGGAGCAAAAGTTTCATTTCAATGGGAACTTAATTTGGGGCTACGGTGTTATATTTAACTTTCACCCCAAAGTTGCAATGTGTTTTGAAGTTTTTCCCTGTAAAATAATTATTTTAATTCAATTTAAATAAAACCCACCCAGTAAACTTCAAGCTTTAAGAAGTCTAGGTTCCTATGAAATGTGAGAGGAAGTCAGCACTGATTTCAGAAATCTAATTATAACAATAGATCCATCCCTAAGTGAGGTGAATCTTGGAATCCCTTCAATTTTATTTTTTATTTTAATTTTTTGAGATGGAGTTTTGCTCTTGTTGCCCAGGCTGGAGTGCAGTGTTGTGATCTCAGCTCACTCCAACTTCCGCCTCCCAGGTTCAAGCGATTCTCCTGCTTCAGCCTCCTGAGTAGTTGGGATTACAGGCATGCACCACCATGCCTGACTAATTTTGTATTTTTAGTAGAGACAGAGTTTCACCATGTTGGTCAGGCTGGTCTCGAACTTCTGACCTCAGTGATCCACTCACCTTGGCCTCCCAAAGTTCTAGGATTACGGGTGTGAGCCACCGCACCTGGCCCCCCTTCAATTTTAAAACCATCACTATGCACCCTGTGCCTCTGCTAGGCACTGGAATAAGATGAAGCACCTTCTTGGAGTTTACATGCTGATAATTGTGCCAGACAGTAATAAAATAGGTAAGAATGGCTGTGGGGGAAGTCAGCTGGGTCCTAGTTATAGTCGAATTTCAGGAAATTATTTAACATGCTGACTTCAACAGCCTAAGCCTCTCCTCCATGTGTGCACACAGGGTAGATCTCTGAAGGGTGGCGCTGTAACTTCTAGGGTAATGGCTGTGTTGAGTCAAGGCAGGATGACAGTTCAGCCTCCTCCCAGGCTAGTGCAAAGGGCTCTTCACTCGGATTAAAGCCTTCTCTCCCAGACTGAATTGCCCACCCCCAACACCCCTCCTACAGAAAATGTGGAGTCCTCGCTTATTCCCTGGTAGCCCCTACCTAATAGGATGGTGAATTCATTATCAAACATGCAAAACATGCAACAAAAGATACCGAAAGTTTAGCGAAAATGGCAACATTTTGGAATAAATGACTGTAATGTGCGTTGTGCCTGCCACCCGAACTGGCGCCCATTTTGCAGCTCAGTTGCTCTCCCTGAAAGCAAGAGTATGCTCGGATTTCACCTTGGAGGAGGAAGAGTTCAGGCTGCCAGAGCCCGACTAGCACTTCTGAAGATCCTGAAGTGAGCTCCCCTGACTTATTTGGGAAGTTCTGCCGCGCCCCCACCCCACCACAACAGGCTGCTGGAGTCCTGGGACCACCCGGGTCTGCGGCCCAAATCCTTCCTCCCTAAGGGGAGGGGAGGGGTGTTCCGGCCGGGCGGGGTGGGAGGCGGGGCTTAGGAGGGATTGTGACCTAAGTTTGCCCTGGTGACATGGAGCAGATCTAGACTGGAGCCTAAAAAAGGTGACATAAATAAAGGTGTCATAAAGACGGGGCGGGGCGCACACTTATCAGAGGCGTGATGGTCTCAGGGCTGCCAGAATGACTCCCGCTCAGTGCGTGGCGCCAGCGCCTGTCATGTCCCTGCTACCTCTCTGGGGCCCACGGCTCCTCCTCACGTGGCAACTCCTGTGGCTACTAGTCCAGGAGGCTCAGCCTCTGGAGTGGGTCAAACACCAGCTCCAGCTGACCTCTAACACCCTGGGACCTACTGAACGTTGGTCTTCCGGCTTGTCTGATCTCCCACAGGAGACTCCCTATACGCTTACTCCCCGAATTCTGCAAGATGAATATTCAAATATGGATATACTGTATCCCAGCAGCCTGCCTCCAGAACTCCGGGCGAACTCAGATAAGCCTTCAGGGATCCCTGAGGAATTCCAGCAAGAGCCCAAAACTCAAAATCCAGAGACCCTGGAAGACATCCAGTCCTCTTCACTCCAGGAAGAAGCCCCAGGGCAGCTTCCACAGCTCCCTGAGGAGGTAGAACCTTCTTCAACCCAGCAGGAGGCCCCAGCTCTGCTTCCAGAGTCCTCTATGGAAAGTCTAGCTCAAACGGAACCAAATCATGAGGTGACAGTTCATCCTCCAGGTGAGGATCAAGCTCATTATAACTTGCCCAACATTACAGTTAAACCTGCAGACGTGGAGGTTACCATAACTTCAGAGCCTACCAATGAGACAGAATCTTTCCAAGCCCAGCAGGAGGCCCCGATTCAGTTTCCAGAGGAGGCGGAACCTTCTGCAACCCAACAGGAGGCCTCAACTGAGCCTCCAGGTCCTCCTATGGAGCATGAACTTTCCCCCAGTGAGCAGGAGCAGCCAGCTCAGCCTTCGGAGTCTTCTGGGGAGGTTGAATCTTCTCAGACCCAGCAGGAGGCCCCAGCTCAGCCTCCAGAAGAGACAGAACCTTCAGCAATCCAGGAAGAGGCCCCAACTGAGCTTCCAGGTCCTCCTATAGAGGCTGAACTTTTCCCCAGTGAGCAGGAGCAGCCAGCTCAGCCTTCTGAGTCTTCTGGGGAGGTTGAATCTTCTCCAGCCCAGCAGGAGACCCCAGCTCAGCCTCCAGAACATCATGAAGTCACAGTTTCACCTCCTGGTCACCATCAGACTCAGCATTCAGATTTGCCCAGTGTCTCTGTTAAGCCTCCAGATGTGCAGCTCACCATAGCAACAGAGCCTAGTGCAGAGGTGGGAACTTCTCCAGTCCCCCAGGAGGCTACAGCTCAGCTCTCAGGGCCAGGTAATGATGTAGAACCTCCCACCATCCAGCATGGGGGCCCACCTTTGCCTCCAGAGTCATTGGAAGAGGCTGGACCTTCAGCAATTCAACAGACTTCAGTTCAATCTCCGGAACCTGTTAATAGTGAGAACCCTTCTCCAACCCAGCAGGAGGCTGCAGCTGAGCATCCACAGACCGCTGAGGAGGGTGAGTCTTCTCTAACCCAGCAGGAGGCCCCAGCTCAGACTCCAGAGCTCCCTAATGTAGTTGTAGCTCAACCTCCAGAGCATTCAAACCTGACTCAAGCCACAGTTCAACCTTTGGACCTGGGACTTACCATCACTCCAGAATCCGTGACAGAGGCTGAACTTTCTCCAACCATGCAGGAGACCCCAACTCAGCCTCCTAAGAAAGTTGTACCCCAACTTCCAGTACATCAAGAGATAACAATTCCAACACCAGGTCAGGATGAAGCTCAGCATCCAATGTCACCCAGCGTTACAGTTCAACCTTTGGACCTGGGACTTACCATCGCTCCAGAACCCACTACGGAGGCTGAACATTCTACACCCCTGAAGAAGACTATAGCTCCTCCAAAACATCCTAAGGTGACACTTCCACATCCAGACCAGATTCAGACTCAGTATTTACACCTAACTCAAGCCACAGTTCAACCTTTGGATCTGGGGTTTATCATCACTCCAGAATCCACAACAGAGGTTGAACTTTCTACTGTCCTGACGACTACAGCTCCTCCTCCAGAACACCCTGAGGTGACACTTCCACCTTCAGACCAGGTTCAGACTCAGGATTTACACCTGACTCAAGCCACGATTCAACCTTTGGACCTAGGGCTTACCATCACTCCAGAATCCACAACAGAGGTTGAACTTTCTCCAACCATGCAGGAGACCCCAACTCAGCCTCCTAAGAAAGTTGTACCCCAATTTCTAGTACATCAAGAGGTAACAATTCCAACACCAGGTCAGGATGAAGCTCAGCATCCAATGTCACCCAGCGTTACAGTTCAACCTTTGGACCTGGGACTTACCAGCACTCCAGAACCCACTGCGGAGGTTGAACCTTCTACAGCCCTGATGACTACAGCTCCTCCTCCAGAACACCCTGAGGTGACACTTCCACCTTCAGACAAGGGTCAGGCTCAGCATTCACACCTGATTCAAGCCACAGTTCAACCTCTGGCCCTGGAGCTTACCATAACTACAGAACCTACTACAGAGGTTAAACCATCTCCAACCACAGAGGAGACCTCAACTCAGCCTCCAGACCCGGGGCTTGCTGTAACTCCAGAGCCCATTACAGAGACTGGACATTCTACAGCCCTGGAGACGACTACAGCTTCTCATTCAGACCAGGTTCAGACTCTGCATCAAAGCCTGACTGAAGTCACAGGTCCACATACTGAACTAGAACCCACTCGGGATTCACTGGTACAGTCTGAAAGTCACGCCCAAAATAAGGCTTTAACTGCATCAGAGGAACAGAAGGCCTCCACAAGCACCAACATATGTGAGCTCTGTACCTGCGGAGATGAGACACTGTCATGTGTTAATCTCAGCCCAAAGCAGAGGCTCCGCCAAGTGCCTGTGCCAGAGCCCAACACCTACAATGGCACCTTCACCATCTTGTAAGAATCACCTTTCCCCAATTGTCCTCTGTCTCCTGCCTGACATGGCAGCCTTTTCCTGGAGGCCTTCCTGGCTTTCTTTATCTCCCCAAGCCATACTGACAACTGACTTTCTGCTTTCACCTTTGCTTGTCAACTCTCCCTTCTCATTCTCCTTTAATGTTAGACCCATTCTCCAGTCTTCTACTTTTACTCCAGCTTTTACTCTTACTTGTTTTCTCATCCATTTTTATTTAGCCCCATTACATCATTGCTTAACCGCCACTCTCCTCCCATTTTGCTTCACCCTCTTTACAGCAGCCTGTCCCTCTCCCGATTTCAGTGATGAGGCTCTAAGTGGTTAAGAGTTGATTCTGGAGCCAGGCTACCTGGGGTTGAACCCAGGTCTGTTTATTAGGTTGGTGACCCAGAGCAAGTTATTCTGCTCTGTGACTCAGTTTCCTCACCTTTCAACTGGGGGTTATGCTAGTTCCCATTTCATAGGATTGTTGTGAAATGTAGGTGAGTGAATATATGAAACACTTCATCAGTGCCTAGCATATGTAGGAGTGTTGGCTGTTCACATGATTACTCAGTCCTTTAGTTATGTCCACAACTCATCGTTGTCCCTGGCTTTCTATATGTAGCACTCGTTTTGTGTCAAACCCAGGGCCAAGTATGCTACTGTCTCCAGAACATGAAAATGATAGGAGGGAAGAAATAGAATAGGCATAAAAAGGGAGGTATATATAATTAATCACTAAAAGAAAATGCATACTATCGGTACTAGAATTTACCAGAATCTGTGATCCTTGAGGTGCGGAGATCAAGGAAAGCTATATGGATAAGCTAAAACTTTACTTGGGTCTTAAAGACTAGCTGTAATTTGTTAAATAGAAAAAAATGGGAGTACAGTCTAGGCAAAGGCATTGCTACAGGTATGGTTGGAATTTAGTAGACCAATCTGGCTGCAAAGAATTAGGTGAGGGAGCAATGCAGATATGATTATGTAAAACCTTGACTATCAGCTATAGGAGTTTGAAAGTTACACAGTGAGGTATGGAAAGCCATTGAAAGTTTCCAAGCAAGAGAGGTTAAATTACTAAAACAGGAGAATTATTTTATTTTGTTTTTTGCTTTATGTTCAAGTGTAGACATGCAAAGGATTATTTTAGAATCCATATGTAGAGCGCCCAAAAGGAATAGCTTATTTCAGGGAGACAACATAGAAAGGTCTCGCAAAACGTAGGAGTCAAGTGTGAAGGGGCCAAATCAGATGGGTTGTAATAAGAGTGGAAAGAAAAAGCCTAGGATGTTTCAGCAGAGGGCAAAGCTTTGGTGCTACCTGGCATAGGGTTTCTTTCTACTTATTTATTGATAGTGATAAGCTTTTGCCCATTTTTTTCTGTTGAATTATTTACCATTTTTGTATTGATTTGTAGGAGTTTGTTTAGACACATAAGTGCTTTTTGATAAAATACTTACATTCAAAGTAATTAACTGGCATCGTCTGTCCAAGAGATGGGACGGATAGGAAGTTAAGCTTCCAGGAGATGCCTCATCATTTGTGCCAGTGGCCCCGCATTGTTTCTTGATGAATTGTGCAAACTGGGAAGCTGATAGCTCTGGAAATGAGAAAGCAGGTGTTATTTTCTGTAACTGAATATCCCCGACAAGGTTGCCACGATTCTTTTACTTATCCTGTTCATTCTTTTCCTACCTATTCAAGGATATAAACTGTGTTTCTTCACAGAAATTTCCAAGGAAACTATATTTCTCACATTGATGGAAATGTATGGAAAGCATACAGTTGGACCGAGAAACTGTGAGTATATATTCTCTCTGAATATGACAGAAAACTAACTGCATTGTAAGATCCTTCTCGGTCCAGAATTTTGAGGTCAATACCTCTGAAAAAAGATATTTCCCCTCCATTCCCCAAATCAGCCTCTGTTGATTGCAATCCTATGGTTTTTTTAAAATTAAATTTGGTAGGCTCTCTTTAAGAGGCAACTTAAATTTATTTATCATACAAATAATACATGGTTATATTCTCTTTTTTCCTCTTTTTTTTTCAGAGTCAGGATATTACTTTGTCCCCCAGGCTGGAGTGCAGTGGCACAATTACATCTCATTGCAGCCTTCACCTCCCAGCCTCAAGCGATCCTCCCACCTCAGCCTCCCAAGTAGCTGGGACCACAGGTGCATGCCACCACGCCCACCCAATTTTGTATTTTTTGTAGAGACAGGGTCTTCCCATGCTGCTTAGGCTGGTCTTGAACTCCTGAGCTCAAGTTCTCCTCTCACCTTGGCCTCCTAACATCCTCATATTACAGGCATGAGCCACTACCCCCAGCCCGATTCTATTTTTAATGTGTAAAAATGCAATAACAGGTATAACAAAAACCCTCCTTGTGCCCTACTCCCTCATCCCTGAGGTAATGCTACTCTGCATTTAGTGTACATCCTTCCAGACTTTTTCCCATTTGCCTACATACATATTTACATAAAGCAAAATAGATTTGCTGTGTGATTTTAAAAATCTTTTTTCTTTACATAAATGGTAACATCTTGCAATTTGATTCTTTCCCTTCATGATATGCCTTAGATTTCTTTCCTTCCCAGTACTCAGATGGTGACCCCATTCATTTAAACTCCTGAATCATCCATAGTCTGGATGCATCATAGTTTATTTAATAATTCCCCCATTGATGAATGTTTAGATTATGCTTAGTTTTCTTGTTACATGCATTGCTGCAGTGAAATCCCTGTACATGCTTCTTTGTGAACATGGGCAAGTATTCCTGTAGCATAGATACCTAGAAATGGAATTGTTGAAGTGAAGACTATGTAGATATAAAATTTTAATTGCCCTCAAAAATGTTGTGCCAACTTACTCTAAGTTGGAAAATACCCAGCGGTGAAAAGGTGTGGGGAGATGACATCATTCATTTCCCCACACCTTTTCACCACTGGGTATTCTCTAACTTTTTGTTGATGTTATGGATGAATAAAAGGGATTCCACCTAAATTTGAATTTTTCTGATTACTCATGAATTTAATTAAATATCATTATATGTTTATGGAACATTTGTGTTTCTTCTCTGAGTATTCTATCCTTTGTTCTTTTTCCTGTTGAATTGTTTTATCCTTTTCTTACTGATTTGTAGAAGAAATTGATTTAGACACAGATGATTTTGGAAAAAATGCTTACATTCGAAGTAACTGGCATTTTTCACAACAGTTTGTGTGTCACATTACCAGTTCAACTTATATAGACAAGCCATACATGAGTTCTAAATTAAAAATAAAACACATGCTAGGTGCGGTGGCTCACGCCTGTAATCCCAGCACCTTGGGAGGTCTAGGCAGGTGGATCACCTGAGGTCAGGAGTTTGAGACCAGCCTGGCCAATATGGTGAAACCCCGTCTCTACTAAAAATGCAAAAATTAGGCAGGTGTGGTGGTGGGTGCCTGTAATCCCAGCTACTTGGGAAGCTGAGGCAGGAAAATTGCTTTATTTATTTTTTGAGACCTAATTTTGTTCTTGTCGCCCAGGCTGGAGTGCAATGGTACGATCTTGGCTCACTGCAACCTCCACCACCTCCACCTCCTGGGTTCAAACGATTCTCCTGCCTCAGCCTCCCGGGTAGCTGGAATTACAGGTGCCTGCCACCATGCCCAGCTAATTTTTATATTTTTAGTAGAGACAGCGTTTCACCATGTTGACCAGGCTGGTCTTGAACTCATGACCTTAGGTGATTCACCTGCCTTGGCTCCCCAAAGTGCTGGGATTACAGGTATGAGCCACCATGCCAGGCCAGAGCTACATTTTAAAAGCAAGACAATTATTACAAAAGTCAGGATAGTTGTTACCTAATTTGGGTTAGAGAGAGGGATTTGATTGGAAAGGGGCACACTGGGGCTTCTGGGATGCTAGCAATGTTCTTTTGTAACAATATGGGTATCTCCTTTTTAATTATTAAACTGAATGTTTGGCCAGGTGAGGTGGGTCATGTCTGCAATCGCAACACTTTGGGAGGCAGAGACAGGAGGATCACTTGAGCCAGGAGTTTGACACCAGTCTGGGTACAGAGTGAGACCCTGTCTCAGAAATTAAATTAAATAAAATACAAAGAACATTGATGTCCTGTACACTGTATGCACATTGTAGTTCTCACATTTTTTTTGATGGGGGTAAAAGGTTGAATGGCTTCACTTGCAGCCCTGACATGGTTCCATGTGGGGCTTTCATTAGGTTTGGGAAAAGAGGAGAAAATGGAAGTTCTGCTGATCTTGGTGCCACCCAGAGGTGGATTCTAACAGGGACTTTGGGATCTAGAGAGGAGGCAGTTTGGTGGGAAGAGTGGGTAGGGGTGTGCTTGTGTGTGTGTGCGCTTTCCTGTGTGTGCCTGTGTGTGTGCGTGTGTGTGTGTGTGTGTGTAGTGGTGGACAGAGATGGACACAACAAGGAAAATGTAAGGAAAGGTTTGAATGAAAGCAGAGCAGATACCACCGTCTTGAAATGACCATGACCCAGCTTTCCCCCACATGCAGGACATAGTCCTGTGTGGCAAATAGTTGTACTTTGCATTTTAATCTAGAAATAACTTTTTCATTTTCCAGAATTCTGAATGAAAATTATTTGACTGAATTACATAAAGATTCATTTGAAGGCCTGCTATCCCTCCAGTATTTGTAAGTTAGTTAATCACATTTATGAGTTTTTAGTCGTATTATCTGTAAAATGAATAAGGGGTTCAAATTAGATAATCTCTAAGATTTCTTCCAGCAATAAAATTCTGCAATTCTGTAGGTTTGTATAGGGTCTCAGCCCATCTCTAGCATTAGCTATGTCCTGTGCATTTTCAGTTTTTAAATTATATAGACAAAATGCAGACAGAAAAAAGTTTCACATGGTAAGAAGATCTGAGCAGTGACTGACACTCATATGAACCTTGTTTTATAAGGGTTCACACACCATCTTCTTCTATTCAGTCTACAACCAATAGATCAAATCTAATCTATGGTCTATTTTTAAATAGCCCATTAAGTTAAGAATGCTTTCTGCATTTTTAAAGGGCTATGAAAGTAAAAGAAAAGAAAGAGAAATATGTGAGAGAGATCATATGTAGCCCACAAAGCCTAAAATATTTACTGTCTGACTTTCACAAAAAAATATTTGAAAAAGTTGGTTTAGTAGGATGAAAGGAATTAAAGTTAACTTCAGATTGTTGCCTAAAGGAGAAGAAAATATAGACCACCTACATTCATTTGAACATCATTAATCCAGAAATTTTTGGTAATTTAATATGAATTAACAGTAAATATTAAAAATCAGCTGAATTGTATAAATAATAGAACAAGAATATTAAGCTATCAATAGAATAGACTGGTATTAAGGGTTTCATTTCAGGAATTGTTATATGAAAACAGATGTTTAAAATGATGGTTAAGTGGTAGAGCTAGAAATGTTTACACTAAGAAGCATACCAGAAATGCCCCTAACTCTTCACCAACTACAAAATAACTGTCTCCCCAGCCCTGTTACCAAGAAAGGGATACCTGCATAGTATTTCTGTCTGGTTAGAGACAAGAAAATACTATGTTCATTGCTATGGAAGCTTGATTCTTATCCTTTGTCCATAGAGGTGTGTATGTCGTTAATCCTTATTAAGCTCATTAGTGATGCTGTTTTGCAAACAGATTCTTTCAAATGTAGAGGAATTAAGGCAAGTGGATATAAAGACCCTCAAGTGGATGCCAAAGTGCTACAGTGGCCATGAAGTAATAAAACTACATTTCCTTTAAAATAGTCATTTTCCTTCTACTCCCCCAGTTATTCATTTATTTAACAAATACTTGAATTTGCTTTATTTCCATGTGTCAGTTTTAAACATGGTGGGCAATGCAGATGAGCAAAACCTAGTCCATGCTTGCAAGGAGTTTATGCTCAGAAGAAATGGGATAAAAAATAACTACATTAAAAAGAAGAAATGGATGTGGGCATGAGGAGGGATACATTGTTTCTGGAGCATAGAAAAGGGGAAAATGCCTTCAATCTGGACCCAGGAAGATGTTACTAGAACAATGCCATTTGAATAGGACTTTGAAGGGCCATTGTGTAACATCGGACAGACATCTTAGGGAAAATATTCTAAACTTGCAAAAGGAAAATGGGAGAAGGGCAAACCACAGGAAAGTGTTCGAGGAATGCCATGAGTACCTGTAGAGTACAAGGAGGGAGAGTAGGAAATTGGAACCAGATCTTCTAGGGCTTTGAATGCCCAGCTGAGGAACCATCATGGGGAACTGTGTTACCACAGCAGTGCTGTAGATAGATCTGCATCACAATCACTGAGAGGGCGCGTTAGAACTCAGTTCCGGACTCCGCCCTCGTGGTTACTGATTCAGTTGGTCTAGAGTGGGACCAAGAATTTGCATCTTCAATAATTTCCCAGGAGATGCTGGTCTTTGCAAACCACTTCTAGAGAGTTTATCTGATGACTGTGTGCAGGATAGTTTAGGAAGGGAGAGACTAGAGATGGAGACATCAACCAGACAGCGTTACACCATCCAGGTAAAGAGGGAGGGACAAGCCCCATCACTGTATAACTGAAGAAATTGCTTTCATGAAATATTAAAGCAATATAAAACCAAAAATGAGTTTCTATTAATATGATAGAAATTGATTCTATGAATATGATTTGAATTAGTTCAAAGTTATGTGTTAGTTAAAGGGGTAACTTCCTTTCAAATGATGTGAAAGGATGTCTTTTATTTCTTCTGATATTGAACTGGCTTAGGAAAACAGACCTAAACTAGGAAGGTGTATAAATGTGAGGCTATTTTTTTTAGTATTAGAAACTATATGTAAAAACTTTGAGCTCATAATCTAGGATTTGATGAGACTACAAAAGGGCATCTAATCAAGTCTGCTGCTCTCAGGAAAAATTCATTCCAAAGTCTATTAAGATGTATATTCTATTTATGAAAACCATGAAGGTGAGACTCTAGGAGAGGTATGGGCAGGGTTAGGGGCTCTGGAAAGTTCAAACACAAGTCGAGACATTTAGAGTTGAGATGAAAAATGTGTATTCAATATTATTCTAAACTCTTGCTATTATTCATACTAATCAACCTCTAATAACTAATCAAGGCAATATTTTTCTTTTACTTTTTCCTAGAGATTTATCCTGCAATAAAATACAGTCTATTGAAAGACATACATTTGAACCACTACCATTTTTGCAATATATGTAAGTTACAAATATAACTTGATTACATTTGGAATTTTTATAAAACTTAATTATAAACCTCTTTGAAATACGATTAAAATTTTACCAGTAGGAAGCTACTAAAATTATATAGCAAATCCTTTTTGTCTCAGCAAAGATTAGTGTGAGAATTACAAAGATCATAGTGAATCATGAGAAAGCAGTGGTTCTCAACTGGTGTGATTTTGTACTCAGGTGACATTTGGTAACGTCTGGATACAGTTTTGGTTGACAAAACTGTGGGTGTGCTCCTGGCATCTAGTGGGCAGAGGCCAGGGATGCTGCTAAACATCCTCCAAGGTACAAGACAAATGCCCACAGCAAACAGTTATAGAGTCCAAAATGTCGATGGTACTGAAGTTATGAAATCCTGTTCTAGAGAAATAAAGATCACTTATCACAGGTATTTACTGAGCATTCACTGTTTTGTAGCTAATACACCACATGTGCAATGCTAAAGTATAAATCATAAGCCAGTATCTTCCACAGTGAGATTTCCTTAGTGCATAGAGAAAGGATTAGGGTTATGTTCCATCCTATATAAATTAGAATCACAGCAAATGATAAATGTTCTGAAATTTTTTTTTTATTTTGGCTTGTGTCTTTTTTTGTAGAAATCTTGGTTGCAATTTACTCACAGAACTGAGCTTTGGAACATTTCAGGCCTGGCACGGAATGCAGTTTTTACACAAGTTGTAAGTGAAATAGAAGATGAATACATGTAAACAACTATTTATGTATAAAAATACATACAATTATTGGTTAGCTGGGTACAATTCCATTATGAACTCTGAAAAGGATGTCTTAAGATCCATTCATTTTTCTCAAATGGGGAAACTAAGGTACAAAGAGGCCAAGAGACGTACATAGCTTATATATGACTTGCTCTGCTTGTGCTAGTTCTGACCTTTGGCATGGGCAAGAAAAGGCATCAAACAAGTGACCCTCAAATTAGCCTTGTTGCTGGGTAAGGTGGCTCAGGCCTGTAATCCCAGCACTTTGGGAGCCACATGTTCTCACTTACAAGTGGGAGCTATACATTGAGTACATATGAACAAAGAAAGGAACAACAGGTACTGGGGAGCTGTTGTTCCCGTGGCAGGTGGGAGGAGGGTGAGAATCAAAAAGCTACCTATTGTGTACTATGCTTATTACCTGGGTGACAAAATAATCTGTACACCAGACCCCTATGACATGCAATTTACCTGTATTAGAAACCTGCACATGTACCCCTAAACCTAAAATAAAAGTTATAAAAAATAAATGAAGGCTGGGCGTGGTGGTGGCTCATGCCTGTAATCCCAGCACTTTGGGAGACCAAGGTTGGTAGATCACCTGAGGTCAGGAGTTCGAGACCAGCCTGACCAACGTGGTGAAACCCCGTCTGTACTAAAAATACAAAAATTAGCCGGGCATGGTGGCAGGTGCCTGTAATCCCAGCTGCTCAGGGGGCTGAGGCAGGAGAATCGCTTGAACCCGGGAGGCGGAGGTTGCAGTGAGCTGAGGTCATGCCATTGCACTCAAGCCTGGTGATAGAGCGAGACTCTGACAGAGATGGGGTTTTACCAAGTTGGTCAGGCTGGTCTGGAACTCCTGACCTCAGATGATCCGCCCGCCTTGGCCTCCCAAAGTGCTGGGATTACAGGCATGAGCCACCATGCCTGGCCAATAAATGGAAATGTTGACTCAAAAGAAGGAAGGGAGGGAGGGAAATGAAGAAAGAAAGAGAAAGAAAGAAAAGAAAAATGTAAAAACCCGTAAAGTTAAAGTAAACCCTTTTTCTTCCTACAGATTAAGCACGAGTTCAGATTACAGCTTTGCTTCTTTTTTCTTTCTTTCTTTTCTTTTTTTTTGGGGGGGGGGATGGAGTTTTGTTCTTATTGCCCAGGCTGGAGTGCAATGGCACGATCTTGGCTCACCGCAACCTCTTCCTCCCAGGTTCAAGCGATTCCCCTGCCTCAGCCTCCTAGTAGCTGGGATTACAGGCATGCGCCACCACACCCGGCTAATTTTGTATTTTTAGTAGAGATAGGGTTTCTCTATGTTGGTCAGGCTGGTCTTGAACTCCCGACCTCAGGTGATCTGCCTGCCTCAGCCTCCTACAGTGCTAGGATTACAGGCGTGAGCCACCGCACCCGGCAGTTTAGCTTCTCAATAGCTTGGTGACCTAGGACAAGTTGTGTAACCTCAGTTTCCTCATTTATAAAATAGGGCAATAATATCTAGCACATAAGGTTGTTGTGAGGATTAAATGTGAAATACCGATCACAAACACCTAGCAGCCCAACAGATACTCACTGTAATAATTATTATTTTTATAATTTCTGCAATAGTGATGATTCTTGGGTTAATGTAAAGGCTGATTTTCTTTTATTTCTTCCTGTTTCTTTTCTTTTTCTTGTTCACTTAAAAGAATTAAAAAGAAAATAGATTGCAGCATTTTGGAATAAAAAATCCCATCGAAATGAATGTATTCATTTTATTGACATATAAACAAAATGTCATTTGTTTATTCAATAAACTTTTTTTTTTTTTGAGACAGTTTTGCTCTTGTTGCCCAGGCTGGAGTGCAGTGGTGCGATCTTGGATCACGACAACCTCCACCTCCCAGGTTCAAGCGATTCTCCTGCCTCAGCCTTCCCAAGTAGCTAGGATTACAGGCATGCACCACCAAACCCAGCTAATTTTATATTTTTAGTAGAGGTGGGATTTCTCCATGTGGGTCAGGCTGGTCTCAAACTCCCGACCTCAGGTGATCTGCCCACCTCAGCCTCCCACAGTGCTGGGATTACAGGCATAAGCCACCACGCCTGGCCCAATAAACATTTATTAAATGCCTGGTAAATTTTAGACATCATGCCAGGCACAGGGATGACAATGAGAATAAGATGTGGTCTCTGCCCTCAAGGAGCTGATAGTCCAGGAGACTGACAAGTAGACAGGTGATTACATGCAATGTAACAAAGGCTGTGATGTCATACAAGAAGACAAGTGGGAGTATATGATGGGAGTATGGTTTTGACCCGTTCCTTCTCTTAGATTTATCCCTTTTTCTTTGGCTATAAAGCAAAAGAATTGGTCCTATTTTTTTCCTTAACTGTGCAGATTAAACCATGAATTTGAAAAACTTTGCAAAGATAAAAGGCAAGCAGTCAGGCACAGTGGTTCACACCTGTAATCCTAACACTTTGCTAGGCTGAAGGGAGTGGATCACCTGAGGTCAGGAGTTCAAGACCAGCCTGGCCAACATGATGAAACCCAGTCTCTACTAAAAATACAAAAATTAGCTGGGAGTGGTGGCGGGCACCTGTAATCCCAGCTACTCAGGAGGCTGAGACAGGAGAATCGCTTGAACCCAGGACGTGGAGGTTGCAATGAGCCAAGATAGAGCCATTGCTGTCCAGCCTGGGTGACAGAGCAAGACTCCATCTCAAAAAAACAAAACAAAACAAAACAGCAACAACAACAAAAATGAGCAACTTGAATTATGGACAAGCAACCTGAATTATGGTGGACACTAGAAATAGTGTTTCCTACAGAGTCGGGGCTTCCTACCAACATAGTCACTTCCAGGGTTTTTGACCTGAAAAATTCTGTGGCATATTTTTTCTTTGCTGTCCACTTTTTTTAATTTTTTCTATTTCTTCCCCTGTTTCTCTCCTCTACTTTATCTTCTAGAGATCTAGGTAGTTCCCAAAGGAATAGTGCTTTATGAAGTCTAATGGTGATTTATTAGGTAAAAACAGAAAATGATTTTTTTTTTTACCTACAAGTTCCATACCAAAAAATGAATATAAACTTTTTATGCAATTTCACACTTTGAAAATGCAGATAATTTTAATTATATTGCATTTTTCAGAATTCTCAATCGCAATCCTCTGACAACTGTTGAAGATCCGTATCTCTTTAAATTGCCGGCATTAAAATATTTGTAAGTACTGTAGTACTTTCATGAGTTATGAGATGATTTATGCTCTTTTTAAATTTTTCATCAAAGATTAAGTATTTTGCATTTAGGCTAAAAAGTCATAATTTAAATTTTAACTGAGTTATTGAAAAAAGTTATTGGCAAAGAAAAGGATTAAGAAAGGATGTGTAATGGTCAAGACAGCCAGCAGGGAAAGAGAACAGTGTTGAAGAACCTGTATAGATTTGGAACATGTAGACACATGGAAGAATATTACTTAACCAAGAAAGCAAAGAAGAATAGGTGTTCATTATTCTAAAAAGGAAGAAAAGGGTAAATAATCAAGATGGGTGAATGCAATATGAAATGAGAAGTAAGATAAATGATAAAAAAAAAAAAAGTGTGAGTTCTATTCTTGAATATCATTAATTTGATGATGTAAATCAAATTTCTTTAATAAGAGGTCTCTGGAATTCTGCGGCAAATAAACTGTTGAGCTGGCTTGTTTTATAGAGAAGCCAATATTGAAGTAATCACATGTCTTTGAATTATCTTTTTAAGTACAGAATTTTTTATTGGGGTTCATATCATGAATATTTCGGCTTTCTTCTTCAGAGACATGGGAACAACTCAAGTCCCACTTGCAACACTTAAGAACATTCTCACGATGACTGTTGAACTGGAAAAACTGTAAGTTATTTTTTTCTTAGATTTATTTTTACTTAATTGGTTCTTTAGGTTTGTTTTATTATTTTTTAAGTCAGGTTTATTGATATATAATTTTCATTTAATTCACCCTTTTTAAGGGTACAGTTTGATGAGTTTTGACAAATGTACAGTTTTTTTTTTTTTTTTTGAGACGGAGTCTCACGCTGTTGCCCAGGCTGGAGTGCAATGGCGCGATCTCGGCTCACTGCAAGCTCCGCCTCCCGGGTTCCCGCCATTCTCCTGCCTCAGCCTCCTGAGTAGCTGGGACTACAGGCGCCCGCCACCGCGCCCGGCTAATTTTTTGTATTTTTAGTAGAGACGGGGTTTCACTGTGGTCTCGATCTCCTGACCTTGTGATCCGCCCGCCTCGGCCTCCCAAAGTGCTGGGATTACAGGCTTGAGCCACCGCGCCCGGCCGACAAATGTATAGTTACATAACCACCACCACATTCCCAATATAAAGCATTTCTGTTGCCTCAAAAAGGCCCCTTGTATCCCTTTGTAGTCGATCCCCTCCCCCCACCATCAGCCCCTGTTAGCTACTAATCTGATTTCTGTTCCTATACTTTTGCCTTTTCCAGAATGTCTTATAAATGAAATCATATAGCGTGTCACCTCTTGTGTTTGGCTTCTTTCACTTCGCTTTTTTTTTTTTTTTTTTTCCGAGATGGAGTCTCGCTGTCACCCAGGCTGCAGTGCAGCGGCATGACCTAGGCTCACTGCAACCTCCGCCTCCCAGGTTCAAGCGATTCTCCTGCCTCAGCCTCCCAAGTAGCTTAGATCACAGGTGCATGCCACCACGCCCAGCAAATTTTTGTATTTTTAGTAGAGACAGGGTTTCACTATGTTGGCCAGGCTGGTTTCGAACTCCTGACCTCAATTGATCCACCCACCTCGGCCTCCCAAAGTGCTTGGGTTGCAGGTGTGAGCCACCACACTCGGCCCAGCAGATTCTTTTTTTTTTTTTTTTTTTTTTTGAGACAGAGCCTCGTTGCTGGAGTGCAGCAGCAAGATCTCAGCTCACCGCAACCTCTGCCTCCCAGGTTCAAACGATTCTCCTCCCTCAGCCTCCTGAGTAACTGGCATTATAGCCTCGAACCACCACACCCAGCTAATTTTTGTATTTTTAGTAGAGATGGGCTTTCTTCTTGTTGGCCAGGCTGGTCTCAAACTCCTGGCCTCACCTGATCCACCCGCCTTGGTCTCCCAAAGAGCTGGGATTACAGGCGTAAGCCACCATGCCTGGCCCGGTCCAGCAGATTCTTATATTTCAGTTTTTAAAGAAATGTTTGCCTTTCTACTGCTTTATGTGTAGTGGAATCTCATTGTGGTTTTAATTTGCATTTCTTTAATAGCTAGTGATGTTGAATATTCATGTGCAAATATCTTCTTTACTAAATTGTTCAAATCTGTTCCCATATTTTAATTGGATATTAGTCTTTTTATTGAGGTTTTTTTTCCTGTAACCCCATGAGAGATTCATTATTATTGAATTTTAAGAGTGCTTTATAGAGTCTAGATACAGGTCCTTTCAGGAACCAGGTACAGTGGTCCCTGCACATTGGGAGGCTGAGGCAGGAGGACTGCTTGAGGTCAGGAGTTTGAGACCACCTGGGCAATATGGTGAAACCTCGTCTCTACCAAAAATATAAAAATCAGTCAGGTGTGGTGGTGCTCACCTGTGGTCCCAGCTACTCGGGAAGCTGAGGTGGGAGGATTGCTTGAGCCAGGAGGTCGAGGCTGCAGTGAGCTGTGATCACCACTGCACTCCAGCCTGGGTCACAGAATGAGATACTATCTCAAAAATTAAACAAGTAAATAAAACAAAAAACAAGGCCTTTTAGATATGTGTTTGGTAAATATCTTCTCTCAGGTTGTGGTTTGTCTTTTCATTCTAAATATTTTCTAGCTGGGCACAGTGACTCACACCTGTAATCCCAGCACTTTGGGAGGACAAGGCAGGTGGATCACTTGAGGTCAGGAGTTCGAGACCATCCTGGCCAACGTGGCAAAACCCCCATCTCTACCCCCATCTCTACAGCCAGGTGTGGTGGCACACGCCTGTAATCCCAGCTACTCAGGAGGCTGAGGCACAAGAAGTGCTTGAACCTGGGAGGTGGAGGTTGCAATGAGCCAAGATTGCACCACTGTACTCCAGCCTGAGCAACAGAGTGAGACTCTGTCTCAAAAAAAAAAAAAAAATTAATAATAATAATTAAACTAAAAGTGTTTTCTGAAAAGCAGAAGTTTTTAATTTTGATCGGCTTTAAGTTAGCAATTTTTTCTTATATGATTTGTGCTTTTTTGTTTTTTACCTAAGAAATCTTTAAGAACCTGTTGTCTAATCCAAAGTGGAAAAGATTTACTCCTATGTCTTCCCCCAGAAATACTATAATTTAGGTCTATGATCCGTTTTTAGTTAATTTGAATATATGGTGTGAGGTATATATATATATTTTTTTTTTGCAATTGTATATTTATTTTTTGGAGAAACGAGGTCTCACTATGTTGCCCAGGCTGGTTTCAAACTCCTGGCCTCAGTGATCCTCCTGCCTCACCCTCCCAGAGTACTGGGATTACAGGCATGAGGCACCATGCCTGGCCTTCTTTGCAGTTATATATATATACAGATATGTGTGTACGGTGTGTGTGTGTGTATATATATATGTGTGTGTGTATATATATGTGTGTGTATATATGTATATGTGTGTATGTATATATATGTGTGTGTGTGTGTGTGTGTATATATATACATATCAGCCAGGTGTGGTGGCACATGCCTGTAGTCCCAGCTACTAGGGAGGCTGAGGTGGGAGGGTCACTTGAACTCAGGAGGTGGAGGTTGCAGTGAGCCAAGATGGCACCACTGCACTCCAGCCTGGGTGACAGAGCAAGACGTTGTCTTAAAAAAAAATTATATGGCCGGGCGCGGTGGCTCAAGCCTGTAATCCCAGCACTTTGGGAGGCCGAGACGGGCGGATCACGAGGTCAGGAGATCGAGACCATCCTGGCTAACACCGTGAAACCCCGTCTCTACTAAAAATACAAAAAACTAGCCGGGCGAGGTGGCGGGCGCCTGTAGTCCCAGCTACTCCGGATGCTGAGGCAGGAGAATGGCCTAAACCCGGGAGGCGGAGCTTGCAGTGAGCTGAGATCCGGCCACTGCACTCCAGGCCGGGCTTCAGAGCAAGACTCCGTCTCAAAAAAAAAAAAAAAAAAAAAAAAAAAAAAATTATATATATATATGTATATATATGTATATATGTGTGTATATATATGTGTGTGTGTGTATATATGTATATATTTCTGCAGGGCCCTACTGAGTTTGTTACACAACTGACTGCAACTTAAATAGTGCCACCACCCCACAATATGGCAAACTAAATAGAAACTCTGTTTTGCTAAGGCTGGTTGAGGGCAGTATGCAAGATTAGCATGGAAAGGGCCCTTCATTTCGCACTCTGTTAATTTTTGTCAGGTCACTTTCTTATCTTGACCACATTGTCAGATCTGTTTTGTTGCTCTAGCCTCACTTCCCTCAGCCTCCTGCAGCATCTTCCCTGTCAGCTAGATCCCTTCCTCTCTGGATGAAGTCCTCTTCATTGACCAGCTTTCTCACTTGGTTCTCTAAGACAGTGAGGATCTGTCTGCTTTTTTCTTGACCATTAGTGGATAGGAAAAAAGCTCTCATTCTCTGTAACCATTTGTCACCGAGGCCATAAAGACATTGAACTAACTGCCTTATGGGAGTTCATTACTGGAAGTCTTCAGGAGTTTACACATTGATATACAAAGTAAGTAGGCCAGTGCATTTGAGTCTTGGCTCATGTGTAATGATCTTTAATGGAAAAATTACCATTCTCAAGTAAGGATAATGTAGACGTCAGGTCATTTATAGTCTCAAAGATTTGTCAGTATACTTTAAAACAATCCTGGGAACAGTTCTATATTGAAGGAGACTGAAAAATCATGAGCACTAGGTGGCGCTGGGGCTGGCAAGCACGTGGCAGAGGCGGTGCCGACGGGGGCTGCTGAGGCGGGCAGAGGGTTGGCGGCGCCTGGAAGCCTGTCACTGGCACGGTCCCTGTGGGGTGCTCGGCAACGGGCATGTCGGTGGTGGGGCTGAAGAACCATTTCTACAAGGCAAGCCAGCTGGTCAGTGAGAAGGTGGGAGGGGCTGAGGGGACCAAGCTGGATGATGACTTCAAAGAGATGGAGAAGAAGGTGGATGTCACCAGCAAGGCAGTGACGGAAGTGCTGGCCAGGACCATCAAGTACCTGCAGCCCAACCCAAACCTCGCAGGTAAGCTGACCATGCTCAACATGGTGTCCGAGATCCGGGGCCAGGTGAAGAACCCCAGCTATCTGCAGTTGGAGGGGCTCCTGAGCGAGTGCCTGATCTGCCACCTGAAGGAGCTGGGCGGTGAGTCCAACTTTGGTGACACACTGCTGGATGTCGGCGAGTCCATGAAGCACCTGGTGGAGGTGAAGGACTCCCTGGACATAGAGGTCAAACAGAACTTCATTGACCCCCTCCAGAACCTGTGCGAGAACAACCTGAAGGAGATCCAGCACCACCAGTTGGAGGGCCGCCGCCTGGACTTTAACTAAAAGAAGAAGTGGCAGGGCAAGATCCCCAATGAGGAGCTGCGCCAGGTGCTGGAGGAGTTTGAGGAGTCCAAGGAGGTGGCAGAAACCAGCATGCACAACCTCCTGGAGACCAATATCAAGCAGGTGAGTCAGCTCTCAACCCTGGTGGAGGCGCAGCTGGACTGCTACCAGCGGGCCATGCAGATCCCGGACAAGCTGGCAGAGAAGCCCAAGCGCAGAATGCAGGAAGCTTCCTCAGGCTCCAAGCGGCAGTATAAGCCCAAGTCCCGGGAGCCCTTTGACCTCGGAGAGCCTGAGCAGTCCAACGGGGGCTTCCCCAGCACCACAGTCCCCAAGATCGCAGCTTCGTCTTTCCGATCTTCCGACAAGCCCATCTGGACTCCTAGCAGGAGCATGCTGCCCCTAGACGAGCGGAGCTGCAAGGTGCTGTACAACTTCGAACCCTAGAACCATGGGGAGCTGGGCTTCCATGAGGGTGACGTCATCACCTTGACCAACCAGATCAACTACAACTGGTATAGGGCATGCTGGATGGCCAGTCCGGCTTCTTCCTGCTCAGCTACATGGACACGCTCGTGCCCCTGCTGCAGTGACTCGCCAGTGCCCCGCCCCTCTGTCCACACTGGGCGGCACCCCCTGCCGGGTCTTCTGCCTTCCACCGGGCTCCTACTGCTAGGATGGTATCCGAGCCTGCCGGTGCCACCCAGTCCCAGGTCCTCGAGGTACTCCCTGAGCAGGGAGCCACACTTGGGTGGGGGGCTTATCTGGGTGGGTGGGGACGCCTGTTTACACTGGCGCTGACCCCCAACGGTGACAGCTCCCTTCCCTACTCCATTGCGCCAGCCTCCTCCCTGCTCCCCAACTCCTTGCCCAGCTGGCCGAGGCGGGGCTAACCCTAAGGTGCTCTCACAAACACTAATGTTCCACCGCGGCAGCACCCACCTCCATCCTGACCCCACAGGGACCCGGCCCACTGCCTGCCCTCGAGTCCTGTGGCCTTAACAGGATAACATCGAGCGTCCCCGTGGGGTGGCTCAGAGACAGGACCTTGGTTTTAAATCCTGTCCCAGCCTGGTGCTGGAGATGGGCCCTGGCCCCACTCCAGGGCCACTGCACCCCTACCTCACACATGCACTCCTTCTCCCCAAGGCCAGGGCAGAGGGCCTCACTGCTTCCCCTGCCTGCTGTCAGCTTGCAGCCCGGGGACAGAGGCCAGCTGGGATCTGCCCCAGGACAGAGAACATAGCCTCCTTCAGAGCCCCGCCTCCAAAGCCCCTCCCTCACAAAGCCAAGTACCTTTTCAGCTTTTCAACTGCCCCCAGCCAGGGCCACGGAGGCCTGTGTCACTCTGGCACAAGCTGCCACCACCAACCACCCACATACACCCCAGCACACTTCGCACGGGACCACAGCCCCAGCCATGCTGTTGAGGGCCAAGCACAAAGGCTCCAGTGAGCAAATGTTAAAGCTCCTGGTGGCCAGGCCTCCACTTTCCCAGCCGCTACCACCCCACTCTGTGGGAAGTGGCCCTGACCATCTCCTCTAGGCCACAGCAGGCAGCCTCGGGGTCTCCAGACCCCTGCCCAGACCAGCAGGTCCGCAGCCCCAACATCTGCTTCCTCTGTCACCCGATCCAAAATCGATGAAATGGGGGGTCCTCTGGACTGGGCCACATTCACATTCCTCTCCCACTGTGGCCCAGCCTGAAGCCTCTGGACCCCAGACTCTGCTCTGCACCCACCTTGTCAGCAGTACATGAAGGGCACAGACACCCTGGCAGAGATGAGCACACAGCCTTGGACACGGTCCAGGGCAAAGTGAAATGTGTGCCTGAATTTTGTAAACAGAAGTATTAAATGTCTTTCTACAAAAAGAAAAAAAAAATCATGAACACTAAATGTAATGTCTGATGTTTGGTGATGTTTAATTGGATTCTTAACTTTTTAAGCCATGATATGATTAGGACAATTGTGAAAATGTGTATATGGACTACATAGTAGACAATGATAATATTAAGTTCCATTGGGTGATGATAGTATTCTGGTTATGTAGGAGAATGCCTTGGTTCTTAGGGGCTGCACACTGAAGTCTTTAATGGTGAAGGGTCATTATGTCTGCAACTGACTCTCAAATGGCTTGTCCAGAAAATGTATAGAGATACACACATGGAAAGCAAATGTGGCAAAGTATTAGCAACTGTTGATTCTAGATGAAAGTTATACAGGTGTTCATTAGACCATTTGAAAATGCTTCCCAGCCATCCTAAGGCTTAAAGAAAAAAGAAGAAAATGTTTAAAATCAAAAGTTGGGGGCAGGAAAAGAATAACAAAACCTCTGGGCTCGTGCCTATAATCCCAGCACTTTGGGAGACCAAGGAGAAAGGGTTGCTTGAGCTCAGGAGTTCGAGATTTTAGTAGAGACAGGGTTTCACTATGTTGCCCAGGCTGGTCTCGAACTCCTGAGGGGGTCTCGAACTCCATGACCCCCTGTCATGGAGACAGGCCCCTGAGTATTTTGAAAAACAATACAAAGGGCCCCTCTCTTCAACCTGCATCCAACAACTCAACTTACGAAAGTAAATTGAGAAAGCTGTACTTGCTGGAAAATATGTTAGATATAGAAATACAAGAAAAAATCGATGAAGTTAAAAGGGAAGTTAAAAGGGGGTCAAGGCTGCAGTGAGCTATGATTTTGCCACTGTATTTCATTCAGCCTGGGTGATAGAGTGAGACCTTGTCTCATTTTTTTAAAAAAGTAATTTTACCCATAGTTAATAAATAATCTGTGGGGTGGTACTTTGAGATCAGTGAAGATCCTGTTCTCAGATGTCTTTTCACCCAGCTGTCCATCAGTGATAATCCTTGTCTGAATCAATTTTTATTACTGGTGGTTACAAAGTGACACTTTTTAAAATTCTGTCATTCCTTCCACATTTATTATCTGGCTTTATTTCATTAAAGAACTCCCCTTCTTTCTTTTTTAATATCATTCTTCATTGATTCTTTTTTATATATTAATTATGTTATAGCTTATTATTGTTGTTATTCTTTTGAATGCTCAAATTGTCCAGATTTGACCAATGCAATCTCTGTTGCTTTTTAACCCCACAATCCAGGTTGACCTAAACTATTTTTAATGCGCAGAGTAATTTCTAGTATTTCCCACTCCCAAAAGGAATTGAGAAAGGGCCTCCAGAAGTTGGGGACTTACTCAGACTCTTCTTAGAAGTCTACCTTCTTCCTGTGTACTTTCAGCCCAAAGTGAGACTTTTGAGTTGGGAAGAGATACTTCTGAATTAAACTGCTGATCAGTGTCACCCAATTCTAATCCCAACCACCTTTATTCTAGGCATACCATACTCACTGCCATGCTTACCCTTCGGTTGGGCACCTCTGTCCTCCTTCCTATTGGCCTTCTAGTTCCTACCCAACTGTTCAGTCCACAGGCCTCAATAACACCTTTTCGCCCAGCCCTCTGGTAGCGTTGGCCTGCCTCCTTTACCTACTCAGCCACTTTACCACTAATTTATTGTTCTCTGTTTTCATCTATAGGATCTTACCTAGCCATATGGCCTGCTGCCTCTGCCAATTTAAAAATAGCATTGAGGTTGTCTGCAAGACAGTCAAGCTGCATTGCAACAGTGCATGTCTGACAAACACCATACATTGTCGTGAGTCCAAATTGCCTGGTGATCAATTGTTACATTATTTTAAGTATTTGTTTTTAAATTTTTTATTTTTAATTGATAAATTTGTAAAGTAATGATATAATTGCTTTATTTTTATTTACTCATTCAGAGTTAAACTCCCTCAATTTCTGAACTATTCCCTTGCTGAGAGTCAGGTTCTCAGTTATTATTAGAAAATGTAATAATAGAACTGTTCCATATTCATAAAGGACCAAGACAAAGGAATGGGAAGACTAGGGAATAACATTAACATCCACACACTGTGTACTGTGCTCTGTGCTTGATGCTTTGCCCCCAGTGATAATTTCTTCATACAGTGCAATGTAGTTTGTAAGCTGGTTTTATATCCATGAGATCTCAAGTACTCTTGGCCTTATAGGACAGATGTAGATCCGGTTTTGTTTTTGTTTTTGTTTTCACAATTTTATAAGAGTACAAGTGATGCTATTTTATTTGAAGCCTGAGAGCTTCTGGTTCCATAACCAGAAATTGCTACCTGGCTCTTCTAATGGAATGAGGGATTTTCCAAGCTTAGACCATCCAACTCTGAACGTGCTCTGAATCTCAAACCTTTCTATTCACAGAACAAATGCTCAAGTGCTTTCAGGAGTTTTTCTGTAGATTAGGTTTATTAGCACCAACTTCATGACTTCTAAAATGTGACTGCTTTCATGTCCAGATAGCTTGAATACAGGTATCTACCAGTGATATGGGGTGGATGATGAATAATGCTTGGCTACTTATTTAAAGAAAATGTTGCTTATTTTTCAAAACTTTTTTTTACCAATTATATTCTTCCCTTCTCCCCAGGAGGTGGGCAGAAAAGCATTGGTAATCTCCTTTTACAGATGAGGAAAAACAAGATCAGAGGTGCTAAGTGCTGTACCTTGTGCCAGGTCTTCTGTCCCAATCCTGGGTTCTCCCCAAGCCCGTGTTTCTCCTTTCTCACAATCTTTACTTCTTCCTCTGACCCTCAGCACCACCCAAAATACTTTTAATTCTGGAAAAGAAAATCAGCTGCACACGGGCACACTTGACCTTCATGCAGTCAGAAGCTTTGGATGATTCTGCATGCAAAATATTAGAGATGAAATGAAAGCAAAGTAGGCATCTGACAAAAGTTGCTTTTTCCCTTCTGCATTTTAGGACCTCAAGTGATGTTTATCCAGAAACTGCTGTCATACCATAGATTCATTGTATATTTAACAACATAGGCATACAATCTGGCAAATTAAAAACCTCTTAACCTACACCCTGAATCCCTGCCCAAATTTAAGAAAAGAATTAGGGTGGACACGGTGTTTTTTCCATGTCGCGTCTTCTGTGATGGAGCTACAGTATGTGGGACCAGAGAATGGGGTGGGTGGGTGGAGCGTGTGCCAGATGAGGATCTATCAGCAATGGGAGGGGCTCTCCACATTAGCATCTCTACCGTGCTCCTCTCAGAGGACTGCCTTCCACTGCATTCAGCTGTGATGGTAGCAAAAACACAGGTACACCAAGGACAAGGAGAGAGGGAGCCTTGTGCTCTCTCTCTGCATCTGAGTCAGGACAGCACAGGGTATGGAGCAGCCTGCAGAGAGGCCAGCTCATCAGGTCATCATGGTAGCACTTGTCTTCAACCTTGAGCTTTGACTGAGCACTGGGCAACTGGCCCCTGGGGATCAATGGAATAATCCTAAGCAGACTTACTCTATGTCACACTATGGAATGTTCCAAGTAGGTGGCCATGTTTTCAAAAGATGTCTTTTTCTCCTTTCGTTGTTGCCATTTCGTAGGTTTAGGATTGGGTGTGTGTTTCTCCTCTCTGAATGGCACTCGAATGTTTGCTGACTCCTACTCTGTGTGACTGGGGCGTACAGCTGTGGACTGATGCATGCCGTCCCATCATCTTTCATGATCAAAACAGTCTCTTCTTTTTTCACAGCTGAAGAAGCATCTGTAGGGAATCCAGAAGGAGCGTTCATGAAGGTGTTACAAGCCCGGAAGAAGCACACGAGCACTGAGCTGACTATTGAGCCGGAAGCGCCCTCAGACAGCAGTGACATCAACTTGTCAGGCTTTGGGAGTGAGCAGCTAGACACCAATGACGAGAGTGAGGTTATCAGTGCACTAAGTTACATCTTGCCGTATTTCTCAGCAGGAAATCTAGATGCGGAATCAATGTTGTTACCGTTCATGAAACGGCTCTTTTCTAATGCACAAGATGGAGACAGGCCCCTGAGTATTTTGAAAAACAATACAAAGGGCCCCTCTCTTCAACCTGCATCCAACAACTCAACTTACGAAAGTAAATTGAGAAAGCTGTACTTGCTGGAAAATATGTTAGATACAGAAATACAAGAAAAAATCGATGAAGTTAAAAGGGAAGAAAAAACTGCCATGCTTATGCAGCCCAGCCTTCTAGGTAACAAATTTAAACGCCAATTATTTGAAAAGAAATTAGAAACTGTCCAACCACAGGAAAACAGCCTGGCAAAGATTCAAAGTGTAGGCAACAACCTGCAGAGAGTGAACAGAGTCCTTACGGGCCCAAGGAGCATCCAGAAAAGGCACTTCAAAGAGGTGGGAAAGCAGAGCACCAGGAGGGAAGAGGGTGCGCAGGCATTTGTGGAGAGCGCTGCCCAAGAAAAAAGGCTCGGGAGCCCGGTCTCAAGGGAGCTGGAACAGCCTCACACAGAGCAGGGGCGTGAGAAGTTAGCGGGAAATGCCATCTATATGAAGCCTTCGTTCACCCAAGAGCGTAAGGCGGCAGTCTCCTCTGTGCTGAAACCCTTCTCCATGGGCGAGCCTTCTGCCTCCACCCCTGCAAAAGCCCTACCTGAGGTCAGAGACAGATCGAAAGACTTAACCCATGCCGTTTTCATTTTAGAAAATGCAAAGGCTAGAGTTAAGAATACGAAGGCTGCTAAACCAATCGTACATTCCAGAAAAAACTACCGCTTTCATAAAACTCGCTCCCGCGTGGCCCACAGCACACCCAAGGCCAAAAAGAGTCAAAAGTTGAGAAAGAAAAGTTATCTCGATAGACTGATGCTCGCAAACAGGCCGCCATTCTCTGCAGCGAAGAGCCTCATAAATTCCCCTTCACAAGGGGCTTTTTTGCCTTTAGTAGACCTGAGTCCTAAGGAAAATCCTTTTCCTAAACTATTTGATCCTTCAGAACGTGTTATAGAGAACACTAATGTAAAGAACACAACTGCAAGAAATGCCTTCAAAGAAAACATTTTTATGGAAAACACTACTATGCCGGAAGGCACCATCTCTGAAAACACAACCTACAATCCTCCTCCTGAGGCAGATTCCGCTGGGACTGCGTTCAACTTAGGGCCAGCTGTTAAACGAACTAATCAGACACAATGGGAATACAACAACATGGGCACTGACCTGTCCTCCGAGCCCAAAAGCTTCAATTACCCATTGCTCTCCTCCCCAGGTGATCAGTTTGAAATTCAGCTAACCGAGCAGCTACGGTCCCTCATCCCCAGCGAGGATGTGAGAAGGTTTATTTCTCATGTTATCCGGACCTTAAAGATGGACTGCTCTGACACCCGTGTGCAACTGACCTGTGCCAAGCTCATCTCCAGGACAGGCCTCCTGATGAAGCTTCTCAGTGAGCAGCAGGAAGTAAAGGCGTCCAAGGCAGAATGGGATACGGAACAGTGGAAAACTGAGAACTATATTAATGAGAGCATGGAAGCCCAGAGTGAACAGAAAGAGCAGAAGTTGAGTGAGGTGAGGACCCCACAGAAACATGAGACCCAGATTTCCCATCATTTAGTGTATTCCAGGAAAGTGCCCACACAGGAGAACCTGAGACTCCCAGGCCATAGCTTGTCCTGGTCATGTAACTTTGGCCATGACGGTGATCTCCCACTTTGCTCATGTAGAGGGTGAAATAGATTAGTGCACAAGGTGAACTGTAGACCAGGGGTGGTAGCTCACGCCTGTAATCCCAGCACTTTGGTAGGCCAAGGTGGGTGGATCACTTGAGGTCAGGAGTTTGAGAACAGCTTGGCCAACATACTGAAACCCTGTCTCCACAAAAATAAAAAAAATTAGCGGGGGTGATGACAAGTGCCTGTAGTCCCAGCTACTCGAGAGGCTGAAGTGGGAGGATCACCTGAGCCCAGGGAGGTCGAGTCTAGTGAACTGTCTCAAAAAATAAAAATAAAAAAGAATAAAATAAAAATAAAAATAAAAAAGAACCTGTAAGCTACTCACCTGGAATACTAGGTAGGGTTTTGAGAAGTTAGCTTCCATTCTCTCTTTTTTTTTTTTTAATTGTTCTTTCCCTTTTTTTTTTTTTTTTTTTTTTAGCTCATGAAAGACGTTCCAGGATATGGCTATAACAGCAAACTCATCTTGGCAATATCTGTGACTGTAATACTAACAATTTTGATCATAATTTTTTGTCTCATTGAGGTAAGAATAATAATTAATTCAGGTTTTCAGAATGTAGTCCTGTCTTTTTGTGGATTCAGAGCCCACAAACTGAAAACCAAAGCCACTTTCCCACCTGCTGCTACTTGACATTCTTTTTCAGTAGTTTAAGGCTGAGGTACACTTTGTTCTTTTACTGCAGTGTATATTCCAGGATTTTAAAGGATCCTCGCTTCCAGGAGATCTCTGTGAAATGAAACCAAGTTAATCCCACTAGACTATTTTAAGAAGTTGATATAATAGCAAAATTTCTCCCACGTAAAACGATGTCAACAATTAATTAGATGTACTCACCAAGTCACCCCTTACTCTGCCACTAATTTATTTCCTTGTTGCTGAAAGGATGAGAGACGTATAATCTCCACCTCACGGAGTTGTCATCACCCTGGAAAGGAAGGAGACAGCCAAAAGAGAGAAGTATTGTCTTGTAGACTTATTAGATTCACACAGTATCATCCTTTTCCAGTGTATAAGGCATTGTCTAAATAGGTCCAGTTAAAGCACTACAGGGTAGCCATTTTTTTTTTTTTTTGAGACGGAGTCTCGCTCTGTGGCCCAGGTTGGAGTGCAGCGGCCGGATCTCAGCTCACTGCAAGCTCCACCTCCCAGGTTTACGCCATTCTCCTGCCTCAGCCTCCTGAGTAGCTGGGACTACAGGCGCCCGCCACCTCGCCCGGCTAGTTTTTTGTATTTTTAGTAGAGACGGGGTTTCACCGTGTTAGCCAGGATGGTCTCGATCTCCTGACCTCGTGATCCGCCCGTCTCGGCCTCCCAAAGTGCTGGGATTACAGGCTTAAGGTAGCCATTTTTTAAAAAAATTGTTGGCCACATTTTTAAGTTCACAGGGGAGGGGGAATGTCTCATACTCCAGCCCTCCTGAGCCTAGGCCCTCTGTGAGATGTGTCACCGTTTCTTGGAGACCATGTGAGACATTCCCCCTTGGATCAGAGATGCTCAACCTGCATCAACATATCTAAAGCCTACATCTGGCTACTCTGGGGCGAGTCCTGTTCACAGTGTCCATTCCTGGAGCTTGCCTCTGTTTGCCTTTTGTTCAATTACATAATGTATTACTTTTCCCAACAGGCCACTGCTAGCATATTGGAAGAGTGATTTAATAAGCTGGTAACCTTGACGCCATGCTCCCAATCCAACCTTATTTGCTTCATTTACCATTTCCATTATTGTGGCAGCCCTCCATTCCAGCCAGAGCTTCAACTTACCATACCTCAAGTCACACCATCCGCATTTCTGCTCTTGTCTGTGTGTTTGTCCATCTAAAATGCCCTTATTTCACTCTGCCTGTGGGAGTCCCATGAATCTCTCCAAAGTCAACTCAAGTTCATCTTTCTGCTTGAAACCTTCCCTGAATAGGCCTGGCGCGGTGGCTCACGCTTGTAATCCCAGCACTTTCATGAGGCTGAGGCGGCAGATCATGAGGTCAGGAGATCGAGACCATCCTGGCTAACACAGTGAAACCCTGTCTCTACTAAAAATATAAAAAATTAGCTGTGCGTGGTGGCAGGCGCATGTAGTCCCAGCTACTCGTGAGGCTGAGGCAGGAGAATGGCATGAACCTGGGAGGCAGAGCATGCAGGGAGCCAAGATCGGGCCACTGCACTCGAGCTTTGGTGACAAAGCGAGACTCTGCCTCAAAAAACAAAAACAGGCCGGGCGCGGTGGCTCAAGCCTGTAATCCCAGCACTTTGGGAGGCCGAGACGGGCGGATCACGAGGTCAGGAGATCGAGACCATCCTGGCTAACACGGTGAAACCCCGTCTCTACTAAAAAATACAAAAAAAAAAAAAACTAGCCGGGCGAGGTGGCGGGCGCCTGTAGTCCCAGCTACTCGGGAGGCTGAGGCAGGAGAATGGCGTGAACCCAGGAGGCAGAGCTTGTAGTGAGCTGAGATCCGGCCACTGCACTCCAGCCTGGGGGACAGAGCGAGACTCTGTCTCAAAAAACAAACAAACAAACAAACAAAAAACAAAAACAAAAACAAAACAAAACCAAAAAACCACCTTCCCTGAATATTCCAGCCCTCCTGAGCCTAGTCCCTTTGTGAGATTTGTCCCCATTTCTTGGACACCATATGAGAGACTTCAGAGGCTGAAGTGGGAGGATTGCTTGAGCCTGGGAGGTTGAGGATGAAGTGTGCTGTGGTCATACCACTGCACTCTAGCCTGGACAACAGAGCGAGACCCTGTCTTAAAAACAGCTACCACCAAAAACTATCTTGGAATTTGAATAGGATTACCTTAAATTTGTAGATTAATTTGAGAATTGACATCTGTACAACATTCTGGGAACATGGTATTTCACGTCATTTATTCATTTCTTGTTAATGTCTTTCAGAAGAGTTTTAGGGTTTCCATCATACAGATCTTACATGTCTTTTGTTACATAACAGATCTTTGTATTTTTCTTCCTAAATACTTCATACATTTGTATTGCCATTGTAAATGGGAATTATTTCCATTTTCTAATTAGTTATTGGTGGTACATCTGACAAGTATTTGACTTCTGTGTGCTGTTCTCTTGAATTTGTTTCTAGTCACTGTACTGAATTCTCATATTACTTCCAGTAAAATCTTCGTTGATTCTCTTAGGCTTCTTTTGCTAACATTTATTGTTTTATATGCAAATAATGATAGTTTTGCCTCTTCCTTTTAAATACTTACACTCTTTCCTTCCTTTCCTTTCTCTTTTTTTCTTTCTCAGGGCCTTGTCGTCACCCAGACTGGAGGGCAATGGTGTAATCTAGCTGACTGTAACCTCAAACTCCTGGGCTTAGGGGATCCTCCTGCCTCAGCTTCCAGAGTGGCTGGGACTACAGGCAGGCAGTGAAATTTTAAAACTTTTTTTGTAGACACAAGGTCTCGCTATGTTGCCCAGGCTGGTTTTCCTGCCACTTTAGAGCAGGTTTCCTTTTTTTCATACTTTTAAGAGTTTTTTATTAGGAATTGTCCATTGAATGTTAGCTAAAACAGTCAATAAAATGCATTAAGTGTCAGCTGCATGCAAGACCCTAAGTTAGATACAGTTAGCCCTCTTCATCAGCAGGTCCACATCTTCAGATTCAACTGGATAAGGTGAATATTTGAAAAAAGAAACAATAAAAATACAAATAGAAAGTACAGTATAACAACTGTTGCCATTGTACAATAGCTATACATTTTATTAGTGATGACCTAAAGTACGTGGGACCAGGCATGTTGACTGACACTTGTAGTCCCAACACTTTGGGAGGCCAACCTGGGCAGCATAGTGAGACCTTGTCTTTAATAAAAATAAAAAAAATAGCCAGGTGTGGTGGTATGCACCTGTAGTGCCAGCTACCCAAGAGACTGAGGTGGGAGGATCATTGGAGCCCAGGAGGTTGAGGCTGCAGTGAGCTGTGATTGTGACACTGCACTCCAGCCTAAGTGACAGAGGACGATCCTGTCTCCAAGTAAGTAAATAAAGTATATGGGGGGATGTATGTTGGTTATATGCAAATACTGCACCATTATATGTAAGGGATTGAGCATCCACAGATTCTGGTATGGTGTGGGGGCGGTATCCTAGAACCAGTCCCCCGCAAGATAGCAAGGATGACTGAACTGTGGAAGAATCAAAGCTCTGTTGAACAGCATACAATTCCCGTCTTCAAAAAAAGTTATCTCATCAGGTAGATGAGACTTAAAATGAATAAAAGGAATGAATACAGATTTGGAGATAGTGGTTGTTGTGATGGATAACCTTAATTGTGTTTTCTTCCAAAACAGATTCATTCCCACAAAAGGGCATCAGAGGAGGATAAAGAAGACTCATCACGGATTCATTCCTACAAAAGGGCATCAGAGGAAGATAAAGAAGACTCATCACGGATTCATTCCCACACAAGGGCATCAGAGGAGGATAAAGAAGACTCATCAGTGTCAGGCCCCTGAGCCCAAGTTAAGGCATCCAGATGGCCTGGAGCCATGTTTTTTAAATTTTATTATTAAGTATTGTTTTTTTACTGGTTAAATCAATGATAACATTCTTTACTTTGTGGTTGTGTTACTCAAAATGAGGATTTTTAACAATAATAAAAATAAAGCTTGTTAGATCATTTTTAATTTTAATAAATTGGTTCCTGAAGATTTGACTAAAGAGAAAACTAGGCCAATCTAAGCAGAGTCCAACTGAAGTAGAAAGTCCATAGAGAACGAGGAAAAAAGGAAATTGTTGAACCACAGACACAGTAAAAGGAAAAAACTGGCCGGGCGCAATGGCTCACACCTGTAATCCCAGCACTTTGGGAGGCTGAGCTGGGTGGATCGCTTGAGCCCAGGAGTTTGGGCAACCTGACAAAACCCCCATCTCTACAAAAAATACACAAAAATTAGCCAGGTGTGGTGGTGTGCACCTGTAGTCCTATCTACTTGGTAGGCTGAGTTGGGAGTATCACTTGAACCTGGGAGGTTGCAGTGAGCTGACGTTGAGCTGTTACACCCCAACCTGGGGGGTGACAGGGTGAAAAGAGTGAGACCCTGTCTTTAAAAAAAAAAAAAAAAAAAAAAAAAAAAAGGAAGAAAGCAAAGAAAAAAATGTATATTTGTGACAAGGTCTCTTTCTGTCTCCCAAGCTGGAGTGCAATGGCAGAATCATAGCTCACTGCAGCCTCAAACTCCCGGGCTCAAGGCATCCTCCTGCCTTAAAGGCCTCCAGAAGGGTTGGGATTACAGGAATAAGCCACTGCGAGGCTAGATTTTTTTTTTTTTTTTTTTTGAAACAAGGTTTGACTCTCACCCAGGCTGGAGTGCAGTGGTGCAATCTCGGCTCACTGCAACCTCTGCCTCCCAGGCTCAAGCGATCCTCCTGCCTCAGCTTCTCAAGTAGCTGGAACTACAGGCACGTGCCACCAAGCCTGGTGAATTTTTGTATTTTTTGTAAAGAAGGGGTCTCAATATGTTGCCCAGGCTGGTCTTGAATTCCTGGGTTATAGTGATCCACCCACCTCGGCCTCCCAAAGTGCTGGGATTACAGGTGTGAGTCACCATGACTGGCCAAAAAAAAGTTGAAGTGTTGGCCGGGCGCGGTGGCTCAAGCCTGTAATCCCAGAACTTTGGGAGGCCGAGACGGGCGGATCACGAGGTCAGGAGATCAAGACCATCCTGGCTAACACAGTGAAACCCCGTCTCTACTAAAAAATACAAAAAACTAGCCAGGCGAGGTAGCGGGCGCCTGTAGTCCCAGCTACACGGGAGGCTGAGGCAGGAGAATGGCGTAAACCCGGGAGGCAGAGCTTGCAGTGAGCCAAGATCCAGCCACTGCACTCCAGCCTGGGCGACAGAGCGAGACTCCGTCTCAAAAAAAAAAAAGTTGAAGTGTTAAAATTAAAAAGAAAATTCACCAAGCCATTTTGCATATTTTTCTGGAAAGATACAGATATATATATATATATGTGTGTGTGTGTGTGTGTATATATATATAGAGAGAGAGAGAGAGAGAGACAGATCTGGACTATATACCTTATAGTATCAGTTGGGTATAACTTTGTTGCAGAAAGGACAAAGGGAACTGATTAGGGTTAAGGCGCATATATGTATGTGTATATATATGTGTGTGTTTATGTTTTCCCAATTCCTCACACCACTCCTTTTTATTAATTTTTATTGAGATGTAATTTATACACCATAAATTCACCCTTTTAAATAAGTGCAGAATTTAGTGGGTTTTAGTATAGTATTCACAAGGCTGTACAGCCATCACCACTATTTAATTCCAGAACATTTTCATCACCCCAGAAAGAAGCCCCAGAATCACTGGCCCTACTCCCCATTTCCTCTCCCATTTCCTGGCAAGTATTTACTTACTTCCTATGAATTTGCCCATTTGGGACATTTCATATAAATGAAATCATAAAATACATAATTTCACTAAATAAGACTTTTGTGTGTGACTTCAAACAGTTAAGTAGGCATAACATAACATTTAAACTCTAATCACTGCCCCCTCCCCCTACCTTTTTTTTGAGACAGGGTCTCACTCTGTCTTCCCAGCTAGAGTGCAGTGGTCTGATCACAGCTCACTGCAGCCTTAACCTCCCCAGGCTCAGGTGATCCTCCTATCTCAGTCTCACAAGTAACTGGGACCACAGGCACACACCACCACACCTAGCTAATTTTTGCATTGTTTGTAGAGACAGGATTTCGCTATGTTGCCCAGGCTGATCTTAAACTCATGGACTCAAGTGATCCGCCTACCTCGGCCTCCCAAAGTACTGGGATTGCAGGCATCAGCTACCACACCTGGTTGTCTCTAACCACTTTTAAGTGTACAATTCAGTAGTGTTAAGTACATTCACATTGTTGTACAACAAATCTCCAGAACTTTTTCATCTTCCCAAATTGAAACTCTGTACCTATTAAACACTAACTCCCCATTCTCTCCTCCCAGCCCACGGTAACCGCCCTTCTACTTTCTGTTTCTATGAATCTGACCACTCTGAGTACCTCATGTGAGTGGAATCACACAGTATTTCTCCTTTGGTAACTGGCTTATTTCACTTAGCATAACGCCCTCAAGCATTCTCCATGTCAGAATTTTCTTCCTTTCAAGGCTGAAGAATACATCCGTTATATGGATCAATCACATTTGCGTTCTCCATTCATCAGTTAATGCACATGGAGGTTGTTTCCGCCTTTTGGTCATTGAGAATAATGCTGCTGCATACATATGTGTATACGTTTCTGCATGATTAAATGTTTGCAATTCTTTTGACTATATATGTATGAATAGAATTACTAGGTCATATAGTAGCTCTAAGTTTAACTTTTTGACTAACCGCCAAAGTATTTTCCATAGTGCTACATAGTTTTACTTTCTCCAGTTTCCCAAATCCTCTCCAACACTTTTTATTTTTATTTTTTTTAAACAATTACACCCATGCTAGTGAATGTGAAGTGGCATCTCATTGTGGTTTGGATTTTATTTTAATTTTTAAAATCAAAAGAATATACTTGGCCTTAGGTGGTGGCTCACACCTGTAATCCCAGCATTTTAGGGGGCCAAGGTGGGTGGATCACCTGTGTTAAGGAGTTCAAGACCAGCCTGGCCAACACGGTGAAACCCCGTCTCTACTAAAAATACAAAAGTTAGCTGGGTGTGGTGGCAGCTGCCTGTAATCCCAGCTACTCAGGAAGCTGAAGCAGGAGAATCACTTGACCCAGGAGGTGGAGGTTGCCATGAGTTGGAATCGCACCACTGCACTCCAGCCTGAGAGATGCTGTCCAAAAAAAATATATATATATACACACACACACACATAAAAGTGTGTATATATATATATACACTCCAGCCTGAGAGATGCTGTCCAAATATATATATATATACACACACACTTTTCTAGTATAATAAAATTATTTTACAAAAGAAGTCCATTACTAACACACACTTGCATGCAAAGCACAAGACACATCTAAGGACCGGGTGTGGTGGCTCACGCCTGTAATCCCAGCACTTTGGGAGGCCAAGGTGGGCAGATCACTTGAGGTCAGGAGTTCCAGACCAGTGTGGCCAACATAGTAAAACCCCATCTCTACTAAAAATACAAAAATTAGCGAGGCGTGCTGGTGGGCACCTGTAATCCAAGCTGCTCAAGAGGCTGAGGCAGGAGAATCGCTTGAGCCCAGGAGGTAGAGGTTGCAGTGAGGCAAGATCCCGCCATTGCACTCCAACCTAGGCGACAGCAAGGCTCCGTCTCAAAAAAAAAAAAAAAAAAAGTACTAAAATTAAGTTGCCAAGAATTTACATGTAGTCCTTTCTACATATAAGACATAAATACCTGACACTTGATTCATTCCCTTCATTCTTCAGCCAGCCTCCCAGGACAAGTCTGGCAACGATGCTGACCACCGGGCAAAAGTAATTACCTTTTTCAGTTTATGTTAGGACAACCTACGTGGGTTTACATTTGGTTTAATATAATACTACCCTACTTCTCCAATAAGTATTTAAGCATTTATTTAAAAAAACAAATTTGCCGGGCGCGGTGGCTCAAGCCTGTAATCCCAGCACTTTGGGAGGCCGAGACGGGCGGATCACGAGGTCAGGAGATCGAGACCATCCTGGCTAACACGGTGAAACCCCGTCTCTACTAAAAAATACAAAAAACTAGCCGGGCGAGGTGGTGGGCGCCTGGAGTCCCAGCTACTTGGGAGGCTGAGGCAGGAGAATGGCGTAAACCCGGGAGGCAGAGCTTGCAGTGAGCTGAGATCTGGCCACTGCACTCCAGCCTGGGCGACAGAGCGAGACTCCACCTCAAAAAAAAAAAAAAAAAAATTCAATTTAACCACTTGTACTACCCTAGTGTCTCTGAGAAAGACATGCCTTACTTCAAGGAAAAAGGGGTCCTTTTTCCTCACAAACATTTCCTCATAAACTTTATTTTTTAAATGCTTTTGAAACCAGATTCTAATTTAACTAATCTAGATTTGCAAAATTATAAAGAAAAAATCTTGCCAGTTGTTGCTTCGGTTATGTTAATTTCACAATTTAGTACATCGCAACTACGTATTTAATACAAAGCAGCCTTGGCGCGGGGCGGGGTGTGTTTAACAAAATGTATCTCAGCACCAGCCTAGAGAAACTTTTCTGTGTGAAAACAGAAGAGGGGTTACCAAGGAGAAATTCATTATGGATTTTGGGAAGGCTTTTTCCTCAGAAATAGAGTGAAAAGTAAAAGTCGCTGTGTAAGAAATCTGATACTGACGCTGTGTGACAGAAGTTGGTCCAAAAGTTCATCTTCGGCAATTATGTCTAGATGATCAAGTACACATCTCCTACAACAGGTGACACGAAACTGCATTTCCCAAGCAAGGCAAAGCGATCAAATGAGTTAAGATGCCTGTTCCTGCGGTCTTGTGCTTTTATTTTTGATTTAACCAAAACAATTTTGAATCGGATGAATTACCAAATTTGGTTGGGTCTTGTTTGGCTTTCTGCTTTGCTTTTTAATCAGCCATTTACCAGCAGCTGTTGCACGGGCCCATTAGCACTCGAAGAATAAAAACAAACACACAGGACCAGATAAGGTTCCCCTACTAACCCAAATGATCCGTTTCCTTAACACAATTTAAAA